GCCAGCAGAGGATCTCCTCCGCCTAGTGAATTACTGAGTGTCAGGAAAGGTGTAGGGACCAAGTTAAAAAAAAAAACAACTCCCATCAAACGCCACACCCACAGTCACCTACAACGTATCCGAAAGTCCAGGGCCTGGTCTCCGCGGACCTCGAAGCTCAGTATGGGGTGAGAACCATCCCCCGAATGCCCTCTGCCCTACAGCCAGCCGGTAACTCGCTGTGACCACTGCCTCTGGGCAGACCTAGCTCTGGGGAGGAGCCGAGATCTGCTTGGGGTCCGCTCTGCCCAGTTACCCACTGCTCCTCAAATCCAAGCCCCCAGTGCAAGGCTGGGGACGCGGGCGGACCGGGGTGGGGGCAACAGGCCCACGAGGCTGGTGGGGGTGAGAGGGTGTGCTGCTAACCTCGAGGCTGGCTGGGCTAGGGGAGCCGGCGTCCACATACCTTTGGAGACAGAAGAGGTTGAGAAGAGTGCGGGGCGGGGGTTCTCAGCCCCTAGAAATCCTCTGGGGACCCCATCCCCAAGGCCGCGGCAGGCCTAGCCGTGGTATCGGAGGAGGGCGGGGCAGAGGAGGCGGAGGGAGCGGCCAGCGGTAGGCGCGCGGGAGCCGAGTTGCAGAGCATCTCTGGAGAGGCAGCCTTTTATGGGCGTTATTAGCGCCCCTGTCTAGACTGGAGACGACACCTCCTCCGTGTGTAAACAGAGGCGGCGGGGTCTGGCGGGAAGGGGCGATGGCGCGTCAAGGGGGCGAGCAGCCCTCCCCTTCTGTGGCCACCGGAAGATCAAGGCCTTTTCCACCCTCCCCCCTTCCCTGTGCTCCCTGTGATGTCAAGGTCAGAAAGACCTAGTCACGGTCAAGGCTAAAAGAGGAAGAGCCTGGTTGGTTGCGAAAAGGCTCTGGCCCCCTCCTCCTCCCAGAAGCCCCTTGCTCCCCAGGGCCCCTCAATCATCCACTAGTGCAGGTCTGGATACACATCTGCCTAAACTAGCCCTTGGAGTTTTTTGAGGGGTGGGCTCCCAACACCTTCTCAGTTGGACCCAGGGGATCCTAGTGTGAGGAGTTTTCTTTTGAACGGAGAGGACTGCTGCAGGGTTCTCAGATCCAGTCCTCTGAGAGACAGAGAATGTCCCAGAGGCTGCACCCGACTTATACCCACACTAGCCTGCTGACGCAGCCACCAGGATCCACCTCAGGAGGAGATGGTCTGGAGACAGACGTGAAGGGATCTCCTGAGATCTGCGGCCTTGCTCCCTCAGGTGGGTTCCTGGCTTGTAGGACTATCAGCTCAAAGGCCCATTCTGCTGGCTCCTGGATCTGGGGACTAAGACTTAGGTGGGGAAAGGCTTTTCCCCCAAGCTCAGAGAAGGATGTAATTGAGCCCTTCCTGGCAGCCCAGTAGAGTGACCTCCAGATGGAGAGTCCTGTGAGGCTCCAGCTCAGTCTGGTCCCCTAGTCCTTGTCTGGAGTGTGGGGAGTGGGAAGTGACATCAGATTATGAGAAAGATAGCAGGAGCCTCAGCCCTAGAGAAGAAAGGGGAAACCTCTGTGCTCACAGCCTTTTAGACCTCTTCTATCCCTTTGTACCCTCGTATTTATCACAGCCTTGCTCTCACACAAACACAGGAGACTGGTGTTGGAAAGAAGATTTGCATAAAGAAGAGAAAACAGCACACACTCTAAGATGGCATTTCTACTTACACACTTACACACATAAAGGCTGAGGAGACTGACCACACACACACACACACACACACACACACACCTTCACAGGAATGTCTTGAAGAGTCCCAGCTCTTGGAGAAAGGAAAAGTAAGTGACCAACACAATCAGGGAAAGAAGACTACATTTTCCCAACTTTGTCTCCCAGAACATATGCTCACACAATATCTGTTTAACATAGGAGTTAACCTTCTCATGCTTGCTTACTCTTATGGTAGAGGCATCTCCAAAATTGATCCAGGCACGATAATCCTCCAAAATCCATCTAGACATATCTAATCCAGTGTTACATCCTGAACATCCTGGCACACCAGGGCTCCCAGGGACTCAGGACTGCAGTCCTTGCCTGGGTTACCCGTGTCCCAGTGCAACCCCAATGAGCCTGCACAAGCTTTCTTCCTCTCTTTTCCATTGCCCCCTTCTGGGGCCCTAGGGCGGGTCCCTCTATGTGGAAAGACTCCCTCATTTGACTATGAGCAGGCTTGTGAGCAGAAGAGGAGGAATCCCTCAGAGAACTCTAGACTTGGCTTTTCCCAGTGTGTCTCCAACTTCCACTGTCTACAGCTACAGCACAGGACTACTCAATGTACACTGAAGTCAAGAGGGATGGGGGCCATATCAAGGGAGCCCCAGACCTCTTATCTACTCTGTTCCTTTTTTGAACCAAACACACACATTTAATCTTCTACTCTGTCCACCTCAGTGGAGACTTAAGGGTTTTGGAGAGAGGTTAAGGTGGTGGGGGTGGAGAGAAAGAAGAGACAGAACTAAGAATGAACGTTATTTCTGGTGGATTCACCTATTCCCTCTTGAATCCCCACTTCACAGCATGTGGTTCTTTGAGAGTTAACCCTTAGTGGAAACGGAGTAGAACAGGACTGGCAGCCACAGCAGCAGGGCTTCCAGAAGGTGAAGTCTTCAGGCTCCTTGTCTCTCAGCTTCCTTGTGCAGTGTTTGGATGAGTGTGTGTATATGTGTGTGAAAGAGACTACCAGAAACAGGTACTTAAATAAAATTTTAAGAACTTCAGCCATCAGTAAAGAGAGATTGGAGAACTCTGATTTCCAACCCAATGCCTCCAGTCTTTCTGTGTCTCATGAGAGGAAAAATATTATATATAAATAAAAATTGCTGCAGTAAAGATTTAATCTGAGATAACATTGTTTTAGGCTATATTGCTTTTTAAAAGTCTCTTAACCTGACAACTTAACGATCTCATTAACTCTGCCAGATAGGGAGATAGGCACTGACGGACGCGACAGGGAAAACAAATTAGTGGCAGAGTCTACGCAGCTCCTGATTGCCTGGAAGACTGGGGTTCTCAGGAACACTGGAGAACAAAAGTGGGGATGGCTTAGTGAACTGGGGCCCAAGGGGTCCTAGCTGCCTGACCTCTCCGCCTAGGTTGCTGGGGAAGAAAAGAGCAGCCTGGGAATGCTGAGCCTGCAGCTGCCGCCTAGCAGGGCCAACAGAACAGACCCCTCCCTGGCCCCAGTCCTGAGCTGGTGGGAGGGCTTTGGGACACTCTGGGGGCAGTAGGGCCCCAGAGCTTAAGGTTATCTCCCCACTGCTGCTGCCACTGCCAACACCACAACATCCAGATCCAGGTGAGTCCCGACTGTTAACTAAAGTGAAGGGCAGTGTCCTTTTCTCACTAACCTGCTTCAGGCCTTTTCAGTAGCTCATTATATCCTTCTCTCCCCAGTATGCACTTATCTATTTGGGGGCATCGGAATGGGAAGGAACTTTCTCCTTAGATAATATCTACAATCTGAATAACTCACTGGGAAAAAAAAAAGTGGAGCAAAACATGAGTTTGGGATCTACCCAGCTGGTGGTAATGTCTCTATTCTTCCTTCTGACCATTCTGGCTGAGTCAGGGCATCAGAGACTGAAGAGCCAGTGGACAGAAGGGGCTTTGGAAGAAATCTGAGTAATAAAATCAAGGCAAAAAAAAAAAGAGATTTATTTTAAAAACAGGTTTGTGGGTATTTTCTTTTTGCATTCAGTACATTGTCATTCAGACATCACAATACTATATACAGATACACAACATTTAAAAAAAGCCTATTTCTGATGAAGATTTTAAAAGAACACTGTTTTGTAATGCACCAGTGGGAAGGGAGGAGGTGAGGGGGTCCCCCCCCAGCACCAGGTTGGCCTTTGAGAAGGGAAATGTTAGGCAGCATCTACATTAGCTGGTTAATTGGGGGCTGATTATTTTCACCTCCTTGAGGAAAACTGCTTTCCTCTGGACAATCAGTAAAAGTGAAAGTGTGAGAGGCCTCTCCCCAGTTATGGCCTCCATGGAGAAATGACCAGAGAGGGACGACTCTGACAGGGGACCAACTCTCCATCCCCTCGGAAGAGAAATTTGTCCTTTCCTTAGAAAAAAGCTGTTTCTGTGCCTGGACTGATCCCCAAACTCACCAGAGAGAGAGAGAGAGAGAGTGAGAGAGACAAAGAGAGGGAGGGAGGAGAAGAGAGAAAGAGAGAGGAGACATATTTAGCAGTGGGGTTGGAGTTTCCATCCTCCTTGAATTTCCGCATGATGACTGAAAGCAGAACAAGGAGCCAATGGGGCAAAGGCAGCTCCTGGATATTCAGTTTCTTGGTTGAGGTCGTGGGGTAGGTGGCTCCTCGGCCAATTCCGGATTTTGTTTAAACAAATAGAGAAAGAAAACCTATGTGCTGTCTTTACCCCAATCACGATGCCAGATCCCTAATAATTATCATTAATATTAACACAACTTTAAAAATATGCACAGAAAATCTTAAGTGGGAAATCTTGCCTAACTAAGGAGTACGGAAGGGACAGGGAACAGGAGGGTCTGGAAGTAAAGTATGAGCTCGCCAGGTCCTGCTCGAGGCCACACCCTCAGGAGGGTCGTCTACCTGCCTGGGCAAAGGGTGAGGCAAGAATGGGGTCATCTGGGGTTCCCCAACCCTGCTTTGGTTGGAATGATCGGGCTCTTTGCTGCCACTAGGCTTTCTGGCAAGGCGAGGGATGCGGGCGAGGGGGAGTGGAGGCCGGCAGCCTTCCTCCCACAGCCCACCCGGACACACCTCCAAAGCTGTTGAGGCTCTTAGGTCCCATCTGCACAGGACATAGGTTGAGGATGAGGTGGGGAGTAGGGGGCGGCAGGCCGCGCCCTCCGAGCCTCTTTGCCTCGGCGGGGCGGCTCCTTTCTTGTTAACATTAAATATTTGTCTGCACCCGCGAAGCGTCCTTCGGTGGGTTCGGTTATGGTACAAAGCGGCGACATAAATAGACGGGGCGGGCGGCCGGGTGGGCGGTCAGGTGGAGTGGAGATGAGGTGCTTTCGATTTGCTGACCACCTTCTTCTCTTTGACCCGCCGGTTCTGGAACCAGATGGTGACCTGGCGCTCGGAGAGGTTCGTGGTGGCAGAGATGCGCCGGCGCTTCTCTTTGGTGATGAACTTGCTGGCCGCGTACTCCTTCTCTAGCTCCTTCAACTGCACCTTGGTGTAGGGCACCCGTTTCTTACGCCCGCGCCGGTAGCTGCTTACCTCTGGCTGCAGGGGAACCACGTCTGCGGGAAGAGAGAAGACGAGCGGCAGGAAGTGAATCTGGAGGTTGGACCCTGGGCCCTGGACCCGGCTAGGGGTCCCTCAGCTGCACGGCTGCTGAGGCACAAGATTCCCGCAGGGACTCAACGAGGGCGGGCAGATTGTTCCCAAATCCTTTGCACCTCTGTTAAGTAGCAAGGTCACGAGTAAGGTGAGGACACTGGAGTATTGCCTCTCGCGTGAACTCTAAAAAGAGGGGGCACCCAAAACTCCAGAATCAAGAGAAATATTTTAATGCAATTTAAAGGTAAAATAAATGCAAAAAGCCCATAATGAACAGAACGTCAAATTCTAAAATTAACACAAGACCATTATTGACCATTATTACTGAGTTTTCCTTTTGCCTCAGGCTCCAACATGGTTCTGTACAGCATTCGTTGTTATTAGAATCTTTGTACCCTTAGAGGGGGTGCCTTCAAATTTCACCCTCGTCTGCAGACCTGCAGGATTGCAGGTATTCAGAAAAATCTCTCCTTCCTGCAGTTAGATCATTTGGGCATCCATCAGCATATGTTCTCCCCCATTATCAGGGGGAGGTGTTCTGTAGTATATTTGAAGGAGGGCTTCAGTGGGCCCAGACCACCAGCTGGAGTGCATGCCTTTGGTCACTGCCTCCGCACTAGGTATCTGAGGACTGCACCAACACAGAGAGAGAAAAAAAGTGCCCAGGTGAAGCCAGCCTGCTTGGGAGCCAATCACTCCAGGAGTACAATGTTGTGAACCACTTAACAGCATCCCAGGTGGGAGGTCCTGGTCCTGGGAAGTAGGCAACTGGGT